CATCAGTTCTCTCTTCCAGTTTTCCCGCCCACCAAAGCTCAAAGGATGCGCCACGGGTTCTGTCGCAAGCTCATTTTCTACATTTTTTTTCGCTTGTAGATGGTATTAGCAATGGATGACGCGGAGAAATGATTATTGAGCCGGAGACGCAGGATATCGCTTTGCTGGCATAAAACGAGCAGGTCTGAACGACTCGTATAGTGAGGCTGCTAAGGGTGTCTTATGGTGTACTCGATGATATTTTGCTCTTTCCTCCTCTGGAGAGTCACTTGGCGACTATATTTGTTACTGAACGCCACAACTCACAATCAATACAATCGCGGGGTTTATGTTCAAGATAATTCTTGAGTCAAGCAGGTGGGACCCTTTTGGAAAACAAGCGTGAGTGTTGAGTTTAGAAGAAGAATGGCAAGTTTAGGCAGGGATTTGTGGCGCTGATAACTGAGAAGAAATCAGCAAAGAACAGAGACAAACCTTCCATAAACAGGATTCGCTGCAGCCAGAACAGAGCACCGGGCATTCAGTTTTGCATGAATTCCAGCTTTTGCAATGGTAACACGTCCTTGCTCCATAACTTCATGAATAGCCGTCCGATCCACGTCGGTCATCTGAAATACAGGTACCTTATGAAGGTCGCACTGAGATAACTATCAAAAGATATCGAGGGTATTGAATGTAGGCATGCTTCTGTACTCACGAAGAATTAAATCAATCGCAAGGTCATCGACATGCTTACTTTTATACGAAAATCGCCGAAACCAAATCCTTATCGAAAAGATCTGGTCAGAGAATAAGCTCCTACGGCATCTTCGAGAACATAAAGATCTTAGAAGGTTTTCCCCTACCTTATCAAACTCGTCGATGCAGACAACCCCTCTGTCAGCCAACACCATGGCTCCTGCTTCCAATCTTCGTTCTCCCGTGTCTGAGTCTGTTGTGACAGCAGCAGTTAGACCTACTCCAGAAGATCCTCGTCCGGTCGTAGCAATGGCACGGGGAGCTGTTTGAAGCACGTACCTGAAAGATTCAGAAAATGTCCGGAAGGCAAGCGATGGGGAACAAGGAACGAAACCTGAGCAGCTGAGACTTCGCGACGGAAGGGTCTCCGATCAACAAAACATTGATGTCTCCTCTAAGTCGACTTCCATTGTCCAGAATCTTTTCGCATCCTCCAAGCAGAAGGCACAAAATTGCCTTTTTTACCTCATCGTGACCACAAATCGATGGGGCCAGAGAATGAGCGATCAGTTCAAACACCTAAAAATGGCTAATGATGACTCATCCTTTATGGTTCACTCAAAATGAGATCCTCACGTCCTTCTTCTTGCTCAGCTTACGGATATTTCTGACATCTTCTGGGTCAAAGTCCAAGGACGTTTCCTTGGAAAGTAATTGAATATTGTTAGAGATAACAATGGACCTAAAAATTTTTCATAAGAATTTTTGAATCTATGGAAAAGGGCATAAGGTTTAATAGATACCTAAAAGAGCCGTTGGAGAATCCATTCTGCTTGTTGGGAAGTACACGATACAGACCGATAACACGAACACGATCGCCAGGGTTGACCAAATCTGCGAGGTCGTTGTCCGCAATTACGTCCACTGAGCGAGGGAGCTGGCCGGCAGGTGCGCATTCCGGCAATTCCTACGGAAAGAAAAACCGTTGCTTAAAACAGACCAAATCAAGCCGTAAGATGCCTACTTCTAAGATCTTCATGTTGGTAGTTTGGCATAAGGAGGCGAGGAGGGGGCCACTATTGCTCTTTCGCTGCTTCCCACTGTCCTGTTCTACTTCATGAGATTGACAAGTAGTTCATACAAATTGTGGCTAGTGTTACCTTCATGGCTTCATAAGATTGCACAAGTCTCTAACCTATGGCTCGAACGACAATGGGGACCAGCGAATGTGCAAAATGCCCCTCCCGAACTGCACCGTTTACAGATTTTGTTTTAAGGTTTATATATTCTAGGAAATTCTCAGTATTACTCTTAGAAGGCTCAAGTGTACTGGGAATCTGCATTATCCTATGAGTAAAATGGAGACAGAAAGCAACCGTTGAAAAGATGACAGTAAGTACCTGGACGGAAAAAGACTGGTGATCCTTGTACGTGCTCAATCCAAACTCAGTCTCTAGGGGATTCTTATTTTCGTCCTGAAAAATGGGTAAAGACGAATGGTTCAAGAAAAATCTCTAAAGAACAACCATGGCAAACTTCACCTCAGTTGGTGTAAACATTACTGGCTTGGAAAGGTAGCTCATAATGAATGTTAAATTCAGGTCGACTGTATCGTTTTTCCAAATCTTCTTGTTAGCCGGCTAATAATGGACCACTCTCTCACACTTTGCCGGACCGTACCGTGGAACCTCGAATAAAGCACGATTTTCTTCCCAATTCGCTTGAACTGTAGCAAAAACAGGCTACAACTTTTAGTCACAATTCCTTCGCAGCAAACCAGATTGCCCAGGAATGTCGATTTCAGTGACCGAGGGTTCACATGACGATCTCCGAAACTGCCTTCGAAACCAACTTGAACATCACTGTAATGATGACATTTGGACGTTTCAATATGCAATATGACGCAAAAGAATAGCTGAAAAAGCAACTCACTGGTTCTTGGTGAATTCGGGACTAGCCCGTCCTACGATTTCCTTTGCTGCTTGTTCCAAACAGATGATCTCTTCCACGAAATTGTGGATCAAGCTGAAATCGCAGAATTAAAGAAAAGACAGGTCACCTTGACATGAGCAACCTACCCAGAAGCTCTTTCAGATGACTTTTTCCGGATGTCATTCAAGTTGACTATCATTCGCGGGCAATCATTGTTGATCATGTCCTCGACCTTCTGTACGTAGACCTTGCCTTCTGTCTGCAAAATTACAAAAAAACAATGTTGGTGTGCAAGTACAAGAAACTCCTTTTTCAGTTTATCCATTATTAGCACCTATAGTAATCTGTTCCTACTCACAAAGACTCTTCGGTAACTCGCCAAGCTGAAAGAGAAAGAGAACAGAATAGAAAAATTCAGAAAGAGAGTAGTTAAGGTGTGCCTATGTGACGTGCATAGTTCCTCACCTTGAAATATTAGAATGTCTAGCCACCGATCCCATGAAAAACCTGTGGACTGATGGTCCAAGCAGTGCTGGGTAGGCCGTAGAGATCGGAGAGAGGATGTGGTAACGAAGATGTTTTCAGCGCTTCAGGAGTAGCAGTTTACCGAACACACCAGTACCGTGAAGTGCAAAACTACCTGTTCCTGTTCCTAATGGAACCTTTTTCAAGTTCCTCTACCAGAGGGAAGATAAAAAGAGAAAAAAACTCTATTCGGCTTGGGGGAGGCTAATATTGCGCACAAGCCCTTAGGTAACTTGCGTTAGGTTTTGTTCACCCAAGGTTGCTAAGTGGAACATTCATTCATACGGCCGTTATTTCGACTGCATCGTCGCCTTCTAGACCTGCGCGTGGTTCAAATTCGGACCCACGCATTAATTTGCCATGCGCCTCATCTTTTCTAGCGATTCGTACGTCCTGATAGGAACCTCGAAGAGAATCCCACGCAGTGTGGAGAAACTCATCCAGATTTCCACCTTCTTGGAAGAAGTCCACGACCAAACTCTAGC